GCCCCTTGGTGGGATTCTAACACCAACAAAGTGGACAATACCTTGTCCCGTAGATCAAGATGGACTCCAGTCTTCACAGAGAGCTGAGACTCAGGGTACAAGATCTGCCTCCTCAGCAGCAAAGAATAATGCCTGACCCGAGCCTTCTATCTCCTGTGACGTAGCAAGAAGGACCGAGGGAAGATACGACAACACCACTGACTCACTGGTCCTGGATGTTGAGGTCAGCTCCATCCACTCAGCTTCAACTCAGTACTTTGGCTCATCCAGCGTCGTGTCTTGGCAACGAAACACATCAGATACCCTGTCTTCCCCAGTCTGCAGACGGAGGGACACAAACAGCTAAACTTGTTACACCCGATTTACGTAGAAGGATCGGATGATGCTATTATAGACACTTGGTCAAGCAGGTGGTTGATCACCTGTCCTGGATATTGAGGTTTGGCCCTGCACCACCGAGGAATTCACAGTTTGTCAAAGATGGCCGGCACGTGCTCTAGCCACTTTTCTCAGGGGGTGTTTCTTATCAAGCCTATGATAATGGGGTTGCCCCGCCTAACAAGACAGAATGCAGTAAAAAGATCACAGTCCAATTTCCAGGTAATTTTTTGCATAAAAAAGGAAAAACGGCCTTAATCACACATGTAGAAATAGACCGTTTCATGGACCAGTGGGTTTTTGATTTCGTAAGATCACCAACGCTTCCCTGTTGCCTTGTTCCGCATTTTGTTCGATGAGATCTTTGATCTTCTGCTCTTCACTTAGTTTCTGCAGACACCAACTTTGCATGGCTTATATACAGAGTTGTGCTGGAATTACTCCACGCTCAGAAAAAGCTCCAAATATCTTTAACTATGGCCAGTTTTGATTCGTCGGAACTCTTCTGCTCTAAAGAACACAGAAAACCACATTGCAATACTTGGCACGAACAGCAATTTCTATACTGTACCTTCGCTTTAGGACAGGACCTGTATGTTTCTGCTGGAGCAATTTTCGTGGTATTTGACTCATGTTAGATCAATACCGGGAAGAACGTCCTCCACTTTCGCCACGACATTCCAGGACGAGCTTGGGCCTCAGTGTCTTCAGTGCTGATTACCATATCACACGAACGTGCCTCCGGCCGCCCGGCACTTGATGTGGTGCCGCATAGGCGTAAAGCCGATAGGCTTGGAGCTGACTCATTTTTGCTGGAGTGCGACTCATCTGCGTACAAGCCCTCTTCCGACAAGCGTCAACAGAAGTGTGTCATTCTTCCATGTCCCACAGCCGTAGGTGCAGAGGTACAATACGGCTGGACAACAGTAGGTGTGGACGGGGAACCCGTATTTCAGGGGGAACATATATCGTTCGGCGAACGGGGGTCCAAATTCCGTGACATACGCAACACCCCTACTTACTGCGCAAAGGGCATGTCGGATGTGTGCGCATGAGAAGGTCTACCTGTGATCGTGTCAACGGCCGTGCCTCATCATCGCCGTGGACACATGGTGGCTCGAGAGGAGCGCAGCGCCGGAGCGAGCCATGCTGACAGTGCGAGCCCGTCCCATCGCCTAGGAAGAGAAAAACAGTTCTCCTGAGCGTCCTGACCCGTCTGCTCTACTGATACTAATACATAATAAGCCCAAGCCCCGCCATCAATTAGCGGTACCAGCGCATGCGCATGTTTGCCGATTGCGAGTAAGCCTATGCCGGGTAGGTTGTGTCCGCGCGGCCATCGATGGTTGAGGCAAAGTTCCCGTCTTTGTTACGACGTATGAGGCGCTCTGGTAGGCCCTGAACGCTCCAGTGTTCCTGATTTGAGTTCAGTGGCATGCGTCTACGGCGCCAGCATGTGCCATGCCGTCATGTGTGATGGTGACGTGTGAGGCTCCAACGTGAGCCACAGCCACTTCTGGATTTAGAGGACTTCTCAGTGTGTGCCCAAGCAACAACACTAGACATTTGCAATGGTGGTTCATTCTCTAGCAGAGTGATCTCACACAGTCCGCAATGCTGTCGTCTGCTCCCCTGTGGCGAGGTGATGAGGGCTCTGTACGTAGGCCCCTCTCCTCTCAATTCATCCCTTCCCATCCTCCAGAAATTCTCGTCTGTCTGCATTCCATAGTCCTGTATTTTGGACAAGCTCCTCTCCTGTGGTCGTGAGGTACGAGGTATGGACCAGAGGTTCTCCAGTGGGGCGATTTTCTGGCTATTTCAGCAAGGGATGACTACGACTGATTGACGATCATCAATGTCTTTGAGTCTCCATGGTCGGCCAGGTGCCGCAGAGAGAGGTAGGAGAGCTTGAAAGTGACGTCAGTTGTTGCAAACGCGAAGTGACTGTCCTGTTAGAGGAGTCTGTGGGGACTGGAGCCGGTGTGGACTGAATGGACCAGAAGAAGTTGGTGATGATAGCGAAGTCCCTGAGGTGAGAATCAACAATTTTCCTCATTCCTATGCAGTATGCACAATAATTACGTATAATTATTATGGCATTTTAAGCCTGTATGAGTTATTTGCACTTAGTTCTAGCTCGAGTTTAGCAGCAATGAGTAATTTTCGCGTTTTTGCTCAAGTTCTGCTTTGTCGATTGCCCTTTCTTTGCTCATTCAAAAAAAGTAAGGAAGAAGGCCAAACATGAAGGCTTGCCAGTCTATTCCAACTACAATGGCTACACACCAAAAAGTAATTACAGTGTCAGTGGTGTTACTTGGAGTATTACACATGTGCACGCGAAATTATAGTGATATTTCGGACGTACAATAGGAAAATCATCAGACTCGCCCCACATACACTCACTACTGACTAGATGGTCTAATGTATGTAATATGTATGAATGTTGTTGACCTGGTCGTAATTTTGGATTCAGTATGAATGTCTTTCTTGCCTCTCTGATGCCAACTATCTCCACTGGAACTTCAGTGGATCGCAAGTGAAAGTTGTGGGTTGAATTTTCAACTTGATCATAGGGGGATAGGAATTCTCTGGTGGGAGTCCAACATATCTTTTTGTCAGCTGACAAAGATATGGTATTGAAATGCTTGCCAACACATAGACACAAACCTGACAGGGGCGCTGTTTGGGGTGACCCTCCAACCTGTAATGAGGCCACTGCAAATCTATAGTGTTTTCTAGTACAGTTATTGACTCAGATGAAAGTGTCTCATATCAGTGGAATGTTCTTTACATTTTCTCTGAGTTGCTAAAAAGTCAGACCACATTAAACATTAAATTCAAGATGATAGAACCAATGCTTACAGCGAAAAGAACTCTCTATGGTCAAGAAAACGCATGAAAAATAGCCTTATCCTTATCCTCGAACTCCTTTATTCTATACATTTGGCAGACATATCGATGTTTAGCTGCAAAGAAATACCCAAAGTAGCATATAATATATGTGAAAGATCTCACCCCCGTTTTCTTTTATTGCGTTTTCGACCAGCAGCTTTTAGACAGAAATGAGCCTCTGAAATACTCGACCATAACCCTGATCGGGCTCAAAACCCCATTTCCCAGGACTTTAAATGATACACTCGATTGCTCTGTGTGTGCGACAAAGTGGCAGATGCAGAAAGAAGACCATTTCCTCACAGTCCTCCACAGTTTCCAAGTTTGAATAGTGGTACATTCTGAGAGTTACGTCACGTGAGAATTGAAACGAGGGAGAGAGCGAGGAACACAGGGCTGGCTAGTTCATAGTCATGGGCAATGAGAACGGACCGTCACAACACGGCCAGACACTCGTTCCAGCTCTCTGTCCGCGAGGGACTGCCCCGTGAGGGATAACAAACTCCACCCTATCTCCTCCCTCCAGCTGATGTGAGCGCCAGCCGCTTGTGACCGTCTGCTTCCACGGATTTCCAAAGAACCCGTATTCTGGGTATCTGTCGTCGTACTTGTAGTAAGGAGGCATCTGTGGCAGTGATATTAATGTACAGTCTGGGAAATAGAAACCCCACTGGCCTACTCACAAATGTGACTTTGTTGTTCCACGGTTGCAGCGTCATCCTCAGTTCTTTGTTTTTGAGAATTAATCTCTTCTCTGCCTTCATCCTTCCCAGGTTTCTGATATTATATGCATAAATCTAAGGTGGCAACAACATCAATGCGTTCCTTACATTTTTCTCTGACTTTGCCTTCTCCAGCATCTCGTGGATTGTTGGACTGTAGGTCTTTGCCACATCCAGGACACTCTTCTTTTTCTACATAGAATGTGCATGCCAACAACGAGGTCAAAGCAAAGCAAAGGCAAGCAAATCAACTACACCCAGGACATTAACTCTTTTTTCGAAGGAAAAGAAAAGAGCTGCCCTTGGTGGGATTCTAACACATACAAAAGCGGAAATACCTTGTCCCGTAGATCAAGATTGGCTCCAGCTTCACAGAGGAGCTGAGCCATCGGTACATCTGCTTTCTCAGCAGCAAAGAAAATTGCCGACCAGCCCTTCTCCTGTACATAGAAAAGGAAGGAGTGAAGGATACGAACAACACCCACTGACTCACCTGGTCCTGTATGTTGAGGTCAGCTCCAGCTTCAACCAGTACTTTGACCTCATCCAAGCGCTTGTCCTTGGCAGCAAACATCAGAACTGTCTTCCCAGTCTGCAAGACGGAAACAAAACAGCTAAACTTTTACACCCGATTTACTGGTAGAATGATAGGATGATGCTATTATAGACACATTGGCAAGCAGGTGGTTGATTACCTTGTCCTGGATATTGAGGTTGGCCCCTGCACCAACGAGGAATCTCACAGTTTCCAGAAGGCCGGCACGTGCTCTAGCCACTTTCTCAAGGGTGTTTCTCATCAACGAACCTCGTACGGCCATGATAAGTGGGGTTGCCCCAGCCTATCAAGACAGAATGCAGTAAAAGGCTCACAGTCTAATTTCCGTAATTTTTGCATAAGGAAAAACAGCCTGTTTATGTATGTGCAAGAATTCATATGCTTTAGGCCATTATGAACCAGTTGGATGTAAGTAATAATCAAAAAACGAGGGGATCTTTAGCTGCTGGTAAGTAGCACTGCAAAAAGACGTACTCTCAGGCCTCGCTATCCCCACAAAAGGAAAAACAGTCTTGGAATAAGGCTAGGACTGACGCTGTCTTGGTCGTCAATAGGACAGTCAGCGGCCTCCAGTAGCAGTTCCACCACCTTAGCTTGACCCCTGGAGGCAGCATTGTGGATTGCAGTCCTGCCCCACTGCAACAGTGAGAATATTCCTTTGAACAGAGATCCAAGGCAACATACATCCGATTATCCTAATAAGACCAAAATTATGGTAGGGCTGTCGGTATGTTTATGGGAAGAAGATAACATTCCAGTTTTCACAGTACAAGTGAAGTGCAGGCTAGACCTTAGGCAGTCGGTGGGAAGAGTTAGCTCTGCGTTCCAGCAGCAGTTTTACTGTCTCCACGTCTCCCCCTGCACTGGCAACCATTAGAGCTGTACTCCCATCCTGTGGACCTCAATAATATATAGATAGACCTCAATGGACTATGTATGTACAGTTCCTACATTAGAGTTCTTCTCAATGTCCGCTCCTCTCTCGATGAGTAGTTTGGCCACTCTTGGATGGCCGTTGAAAGTGGCTTCATGGAGAGCTGAAAACTGTTCCTTAATAACAAACGAATGCAAGGAGTAAAAGCAGTGCTAAGCTAGTAGTGATATACCCTTTTGTGTTGAAATTTTATGCTATGACAGTGTTGCCATTTGTGGAACAAAAGTACATATGTTTCATTGGACGGTGTTCACTGTATATGGTATCAAACTGACCCCGTCTGTGGCATTGACAGAGGCTCCCTGGTCCAGTAGGTACTCAGCCACTTCATAATGACCACGACTACATGCAGCATTCAGTGCCGGCCTCCCAGCCTTTCAAGGGGTATAAAATGCATACTTACTGTAATTTACCAACACCAAAGCCGGCCTACCCTTCCTTCAGTGACAAAGTTGACATCTGCTTTAGCCTCCACTAGGTCTTTCACAATGTTCAGATGACCCATCAGACTAGCTGCCAGCAACGGAGTCTGCCTGTTCTGTTGGTGACTCCCATTAAACAACTAACACACAGGTCAGGGAAATAGACCGTACATGGACCACGTTGGGTTTGATTTTCGTCAAAAGATCACCAACTGCTTCCCTGTTGCCTTTTCCGCATTTGTCGATGAGGTCTTTGATCTCTGCATTCTTCACCAGTCGTTTCTGCAAGACACCATACTTATGCATGGGCTTATCATACAGCAGTTGTGCTGACTTACTCCACGCTCAGAAAAAGCACCAAAAATTCTTTTAACTATGCTAGGTTTTGATTCGTCCGGCAACTCTGCTCCTAAAACACAAACCACATTGCAATACTCGCACGAACAGAGCAATTTCTATACTGTACCTTCGCTTTCAGGACCAAGAGCCTGTAGTTTCTGCTCCAGTAGACGTCTCGTGGGATTTGACTCATGTTCGATCCAGTACCGAAGGACGTCCTCCAACGTGTCGCCCACAGAGACATCTCCTGGACAGAGCTGGTCCCTCAGTGTCTTCAGTTGCTCCTCTGTCAGGGGGCGTAGGGTCTGGACCAATTGATCCACATCTGCAAGACTCAGTGGTTGCCCTGCGGACATTGCGGATTGCACGGGAGTCGCCATTGAGGACAACGTGCCCCGCAAATGATGTGGTACGCATGCGTAAAGCGGACAGGGAAAACCCCTTCTGAGTTCAGCTTGGCTGGGCAGTTTAGTTATGGCTGAAGTTGGCGAGGCAGACAGTGTTGTGAGCGAGGGGTGCATACAAGAGCTGCTCGAGGTCTTCAGCAGAGGCGCCTACAAAGCCAGGAACGCATTGGACAGAAGGGTAAGTGAAAAAGGCATGGAACTGGACTGTACGACCCTACGTAGCCAAGACGACACTAGTGAACTGCTGTTGCATGTGTGTATAGCTCTCTCTCTCGCTCATGCCGTACAGAACGAGGTCATTCACAAGAGGTGTATTCATCTTATAGCTCGAGACTACGATGTGGAGGTGAGCTCTGAACTATTCACTCTGTATGTTTGTGCTACCAAAGGCAGTGTATCTCTGTGACTGACTCTCTTGAATATCCCTAGCCTCTTCCCCTTTGTCCCTCAAACTACACAAAGCCCTCCCTTACTTACCACAGCTAGAGTCACCGTTGATGACCCTATTACTGTGACACACGCTCCAAGTGATAGTGTCTTTCTGAATGCATACCAACCAGTGTGGAGTGGACAGGTTGGCGTACTGCATTGGTCCTATAGCTTTGTCAGTACCTGTTGATGTTGAGTGCTTTGTATAGTGACATACAACACTGCACTGCTGGTATTATGACCTGAACATGTAAAGATGGAGACATGCTGTCTTAGAAAACTGACGTATGTATGTTGTAAGAGGATTATGTGTAGCGTACACGCGTTGCTGAGGATGGCTGAACAACTATGTTAGAAGCCTCTTTAGGTGGCATTTGTTGCTTGTACACACACACACGTCACAAGGTTATAGTACCATTTGCTGTGTTGTTAGGTGATTGACAATAAGTCTGGGCAGCTGTGTGGACACTATCCGTCTGAGCTCATTGTCATCGAGAGGCACAAGACTTTTGCCAGAACAACTTCCTCAGCAACACGTGGCCGGTTAGAGAACAATTGTTTTCCCTCTTCATGTCTTTTTCTTTCTTCTCTCTCTTTCCCCTGTGTGTGTCGTATGTGTGTATACGTGCAACTGTTGTGATCACATTGCCAATACACAATTACCTTGTATAGAGAGCGAAGCAAAGCTTCAGTTGCTAGAATAACTGGCTGTATTGGTTTCTCTCTCTCTCTCTCTCTCTCTCTCTACAGTGGTCACCCGGTCAACGATACAGCTAAGTTGAAGGAGCTAATCTCGACTGCCAGATATGCACGATGTCGGTTGCGATTTGTGATGCCAGTCATTCTGTTTGAGAACAAGGTACACTATCGTGGGAGGACTGAGTGTGATTATTTTGAGTTATTCTTCTTCTTCCACAGAATGTATGTCGCTCTGCAACTCTGTCAACGATGGCAGAAATGTACGGGAGAGCTGGAATGGACTGGTTCACCGGTATACATATATGGTTGTACAGTTACGTATTGAATGTGTAGGTGTGTGCACCTGTCATTCTCTGCCAATACTTAGGTTTGCTAACAACCGGCATAAAATTAATACTTGTACTCTGGATACACGTCAATCTGTACATAAGCATGACTGTGTGTTTTACGTAAGAAGCTGTAGGTGTACTGCACTGAAAACCCAAATGTATCGTGTATATGTATCTACAGTACAATGTATACGTATACAGGTGGAGACACAGCATCATCATCATCGATACCATCAAGTAGTAGTGGAGGAGGTGGTAAGGACAGGGGCCGGTCAGGTCTCCTTCTCTCTCCTCCTCCTCCTCATCACCATCGACCTCTGGCAGTGGCCGTGGGCAGGTGGACAAGGAGGAAGTGTAAGACACAATTTACATTTCTCATTTGGAGTGTGCTCCTGTATCACTTGATAAATCTATACACCTGTTCTAATCTGTTTGGTTGGCATGAAAACCAACCTGTATACTTATGTAAATTTAATCATGATTCCATCCCTTGCTTATGAGCGAAAATTTGTCGTGCCAGCATTAAGTATATTAATGAGTCACATGTATGGATAAAGGTTTCTTGTTTGTCCTCTTGCTGCACAATATTCACTGATGTCGTGTTGCATTCACTCTGTGCTAGTGCATGCACAGAGTTGCTGTATCAGTCAGCTATACCTATGTATGTAGCATATATGACGTTGATGTTGTTCACCCCAATAGACTAACACTCGATTTTCTTGTATACTCAGGGAGCTGATGACAAGGGTGAGAGGTCAAGATGTCCAGCTACTGAAGGCCACGGGGGTGGATCTCATCTGTGACCTGATGGTCGAGAAGAAGAAGAGCAAGTACGGACTCCTGTGAGTGAAAAAAACACTAACAAATGTGTACTCAGGGGTTCTAACGAGTGCTGTGAGATTTGCCTTTAGTCACGCAAGCTAGCCAATGATCCATCGGAGATTGGGTGGCTCGGAAAACTGTATACTAGACTGCTTTCTGTTTTAACCCGCGTGATTTGCTGTATTTGTGTTTTCCATGTCATGCTGTACGCAGAGTGGCATCGTCAGAGAAGGTGGATAAGTGGGCTCGCTACTGTGACTTCCAGATAGCCTCAATGCCCTATCCAGGTCTATATGTATTTCTCAGCAGATACACATGTACTACCTACGTAATATGTACATTTGGTACAGATGCACACGTAGATACTCATCATTGTGCAGCCTTATAGATCTTGTTCTCCATCAATGTTTGCTGCTTCATTTTCAGGATGTGAGTTTTTCAGGGAATACAAAGACAAGGACTTCAGTCCAGTTGGTCTACACTTTGACTGGAAGCAGGTAGGTACGGTGCATTCGTGTCCATGAGTAAGAAGTGTGTATAAATCATCTCTCTGTGTGTAGTCAATGATAGATGCAGACCTGCTATTGCCTGAACCTCTGCAAAGAATGACTCAGATACCATTCAGGACCTATCAGGTAATATACGTATAGAGCTTCTCCCTATATTTTTTGGCACAGTTTGGACCTAAAAGCAATGTTCAAGCACCTCTCTTCTGCTTGGCACTACACATTTACAAAGCATAGTAGGGACACTGCAGTCATCCATGTCACATATAGTATGATTGAAGCTTCCCTGGGAGCAGCAGTGTTGAGTGCACGTACGTATCGTTCTGTTTTTTCTCGTGTAGGAGTGGGATTTGGTGCAGATTACACTCAACTACTTGAAGCTCTTTCTCGCTTACTTACAGCATGGTGAGAAGTATATACGTAGCAGGCAGCTATACAGTGGGTCCATCATTTTCACCGTTAATGCTAAGCAGCTTTATTATATGCATGATAGGACCCACCAAGTTAGGTCTCCTTTTGAATAATTATTATTAGTTATGGCTGATTTCCAACTGCTACTCTTATATATAGGCAAAGGAGGTCTGCTGATTCACTGCATATCGGGCTGGGACCGCACCCCTCTCTTCATCTCCCTCCTCAGACTCTCGCTTTGGGCGGTAGGTCACATGACCACTTGTGATGTCATCCATGTATACATTAATACATGTCCTAATATGTACATTTGTCTGTAGGATGGTAAAGCTCACTGCTCTCTGTCTCCTAAGGAGATTCTCTACTTCACACTTGCCTACGACTGGTTTGCATTTGGGTATGTATCCGTTCACTATTTGAGGTTCCACGTTGAGAAAAACTCTTCCCTTTTAACAGCCATCCTTTCAAGGAGAGGACGGGAGAAAGGAGAGGAGGTAATTTACTATCATGTGTGACTAAAACTATGTACTCTGTATACTCCAAATAAATATAAGTTATGTACTACGTGCGAGGGACATACCGGATTTCAATGAACCTGAGGGCCTATTCCGAGGGTAGGAAAATGTATTAGCACTCGATCAAAACCTTATGCAGAGGTCTCCTTTATTCAGAGTGCCCATTATAAGAAGTTCTGCTGTTGTATAACCTTTCGTAAAAAGCTTGCGTCTGCATTATTGTGTTTGCATGCTGTACTTCCAGATTATGTTCTTCTGCTTTGATTTCTTGAAGTACATCACATCGGACGACCTCTCAGTCAACAGGTAATGATAGCAGGAGTTTTTAGGGTTTACAACTTATCTCATTTGTAAAGGTTTGTCCCTGTAAACCCGAGTGGGCAGTAGAATATGTGTTGTGGGTAAGCAACCTAAGTTTTACTTTATTTATACTACCGAATCGTGAAAGTGTACGAATCTCCTATGTGGTATATGTAACGTGTGTTCTCTCATCTTGTTCACCAGAACACCACAATCCCGTGGTTCTCCCTCTACTAATGGCGGGGGTCTGTACACTCCTGCCAGTGTTCCCTGCCAGAGGACCTTCTCTGCACACGACTGCTCCTCCCACTCTACTGATCTAGGTCGGTCAACTCCTGCTTCTTACACCTGCACGCGCACTGTGAAGCCAGTGAATGGGAATAAGACCTTATGCACACACACACACACACACACACACGTGCACACACACACTGAAATGCATGTCGGTCTATGTGTATATACGCATTGTGGTAAATCTTGCTGCACCAGTTTTGTCTGACTCACAAACTAGGAAGTGTGGTTGTGGGATAGAGCGTAAGACTTTGTGCCTTCGTGCGATGTATTTATGCAGGAGATGGTTGGGTGATGGAGGGTCGTATCTCATGATGACAGAAATCCAGGCTGTGATGGAACTACACCTGAGTAAGTCACTATCCCATCTCAGGTCAGAAAGTGTCAACCTACCCACACTATTCTATAGCTGTCAATGTGGACCACAGGGGGACAGTGTGTCTTTAGCCTTCTCCTCGACCTCCCAGTCTCACCACACCGCTCTCTGCCGCCTCGGATCTCCTACTAGGTACTTCGAGCCAACTATGTTTTGTGTAAAGGAACAACTTGCACCAGACAGGCAACACGTGAAGTTGAACATTAATTTCCTACCGATTTGTTTTGCAATACCACCCTAATGATGAGCTCATCAATATTATCATGCAGGTCTTGTTCAAGCTACTCTTTTCTCATCGGTACCAAGAAGCCAGTCCTACTCGAGCCCCCTCCCCCCATCGACCATGAGACGGCAGAAGTTGCTGGCAGTACGGACGCTGTTCCAGAAGGCCTACAGAACTGCAATCCCTGAGTTGCAGCCTGCTCAGGGAGCCATGGCCTTTGCCACTGGCCTTCTCTCCAGACTGCCTCTCTTTGGGAGTAGTAGTAGTATACAACAAGTATGACTAATAATAACTTTTTCCCAGCGCGCATGCGTTTAACGTCGGGCAGAAAGTGGCGCCACTTTTACTTCGTCCAACCAATCACAATTCACAACGGACAAAAATCCCGGGAAAAGCTGTTGTTCGCGCCACTTCTCAGCTCTTGCATGCTCGATAATCCGCGGCTCAGCCCACACTAGCTAAACAACGCGAAGGTGCACTCACTGAGACGGACGTACAAAAGGTCGGGTCCCGCGAACGTTTGGGCATTATGGACGAGGAGCACGAACGGATGATGTACCCATTCAGACAGATATTTGCTGATGCTACGAACAAACTGAGCACGGATGAAGCCCACATGCTTTACTACACGTATGGCAAAAAATATCCACCGGCTGGTCGCGATACAGTACCCATGGTACTAGACTTATTCCGTTCTCTGGAGAAACGGGGACTGCTTAGCCCTGATGCCAGAGGCATGGCCTTCCTACGAGAAATGCTCATTGGCATAAATCGTGTAGATATTGCTAGAGACTGTGAGAGACACAGGCAACTACTGAAGGGTGGGTTGGTTCTGGTATTACTGCATGAAATAAACCGTTTCTTTTCTCCCTAGCCAAAAGAATTGAACCAGTCTACTCAAAACAGTTAGTAACTTATATAGTGTTATGCCGCATCAATAATACCTATTATCTGCATTATATATAGCTTGGCTAATAAACCTGCCAGGAAACTAAAGCAGAGAAAGCAGAGGCGACTGACAGCGTATTACGCACTGAACAAGAAAATAAAAACAACAATCTTGGACTATTTTCATGTAGAGAGAGACCGCCAACCCCCATCCCAGCAGAGAAATGTTTGACAGACTCTAAAACTTTATGAATGGGTGTCTTTAAATGTTTGTATGTATGTATGTACATAATAGAGATTGTACGTGTACGAGTGACGTGATAATGTGATCATACAGTAGTCTCTCTATGATGATGGGTGATTAAATGTGGATTGGTAGTAGGAGTGCCAAATGCTGAGCTGAAAGAAAGTTCAGATTGTTCATCATCTTCTCGTTCCTCAAATGGATCAGGATCATGCTCTCCAGAAAACTCATTCTGTCTTCTCAATTGTGGAGAAAACGAGGGGTCTTCAGCAAGTGGGGGGGATGTTAGTTCAAACTCCCCCCATCTCCCTGATAGTGGCCTCTCTTCTGTATCATGAAAAGCCATGTTGGAAAGCAATCTTTCCTCATACAGCATAGTTGGGCTGAGTTGGCTGTAGCAACCCACCCCAATATCCAATATTATGCTGGAAATGGTGCACAATTGCTCACAGACACATTGTACCATGTCTAATTGACCATGCAGTCATCAAAACTAGAATTGGTGCCTCCGTGTTTCTCGACCAGCGCATGCGCACCACATTAGTGCGAGCCCCTCAATCCACCCCACCACCTAAGTGAAACAGCTTCCTATGCCTATGTTAACAGTGAAACCTCTGAGGGACACCTTGTGGACATTTAAAGTGTCCTTCATTCAATAGATGTGTCGCTTGCTCAGATAAGACAATTGTCCACACTCACTATAATTATAATATATGAGCCTATGTACTTACCGTGAGTTTGGTCAAAAGAGAATCTATAGCCCGTGAGACTAGCAGGAGTCATCGTTCTGACACCACTCACTGATGACTTCCGTGATCCCTGCAACGTACACAGAAGGCATCACTACCACATCAACTGGCAAATCAAACTCGTGCTGAAGCAATCCTACACGTATGCATGCTGTCCGTAATATCCTGTGTTGTAGCCATGTACCTGAGGGGGTGAGTGGAGAATTGAGTGTTCTTCGAGCTCGAAATCTGAAAGTTTTCTTTCCAGCAGCTCAGGACCAGCATCTGGCAGCCTCCTCTGGCCAGCCTGAGTACAGATTAGTTATAAGCCCATAATCACTGGCTCTACACCATTAGTTTGGCATACATAAGTGTTACATACAGGCATTGCAGTTGCTTACTATAAGACTTCTCCTCTCTCTTCCTTGGAATATCTGAATGGTCTCGTTCCTCTTGCGCACAAATGCCCTCCATCTTGTTTGGATAAGGTGAACAGCATAGCCACGTCTCACAGTTGAAACTACACACATAAATACGTTAATAATATAACACTGCAGAATAAGGTGCAGTAGTGCATGTGAAAAAGATGATTTACCATCTTCCACGGGCAGGACTTGGTCCAGGATCCTCTGCTCACAAGTTGGAAAGAGCACCCTCAGCTTCTCTTTCAGCTCAACATTGCACTTGTGCAGGCACTCTAAGCAACCTGTGCATCATACAATGACAAGTATATTATTTAGCTGTACATGGGGAAGATGTCATGTGGTGAAGGGGCACCTGAGCAACCAATGTCAAGGGAAGTCTTCACCAGTCCAAAGAGAGTAGCGTGAAATGTCACCTTCTCATCCACCAGTGGCATGTTCAGATCCATCATTTTCTGTGTATATACATGTAGAGTAAGCAACGTAGCTAAATATGTACATTGATGAAATGCATCTCTACAGTAGTGCGAGTAATGTCCCACTGTGCTCACTCGGTATGCAACAATCCTGGGACACAGAATGCCCCATCCAACTGGAGGATTACACTGTTTCAGCAGCTTTATCACTTCCTCCGGTAACAGCTCACCACTGGGCAGTACAAGAACATACAAATTTAAAATGTTAAGGCAAGGTCCATTATTTGTAGCATTGGCCCACCCTCGCCTCGTTGCTGCGTCGCAAGGATAGAATCCATTTCTATCTTGGTGGCACAGCGTGACGGGGCACATTGCGAACCTAGCCTTATATACTTGACATCATTCATGTAGCAGGGGTTTTAGCTAAAGCAGGTAAGCCTGGTGGTTTCCCCTCCTTTTTTTTATCCCGCCCCCTCCTTTTTTCTTTCTCCTCTCATTTCTGTTTGCTTTACAGAAACCTATATGCTTAGCCAAATGTGGGTTATACATGCATTGCATGGCCTCTTTCCCCCTGGCTAAAACCCTGATGTAGTTGGTGTAGTATACTGACCTTGCAGAGGGATCGTATATGGACCACAGTTTGACAAAAGTGCTCAACTGATGGGCGCCCAGGACCGACTTGTCCTTCACAAGGTAGTCGAAGTTGTCAATGATGATTGCCACAAACAGATTCAGGAACTGCAAGTATAAGTGACCAAAAACTACAGCTACATGTAATACACACCTGAGGGTATAGGTAAGAAGTAAGTCTCCTCTAGTGTTGTGTAATTCCGCAAGTGAAGCATAGTACACAGACTCATTTCATCGGCTTGAAGTATGCACTTAGAATAATAGTGATATCTCTCTCTAGGCCCCAGGGAGCGACTATTCACAGAGAACAGCTCTACGTTGGCATATAGGCAAGGCTCTGCTCGGCAAAAATGTTTTTTCTACTAGTCAATAGGTCTCATTGACCATACGGATGGATATAGATAACTTTGTTAATTCTGGGGTTGAAAAAGAAAAAAGCAACTCCACTGGACAAGTGGCCATCATGCCCAGTGAAGTGGGGACACTCAGTATTGTCAAGCAGCAGTGTGGGTGAGGGGAGGAACTAGAGCTGATCCCAGGCAGTGCTCTAGACCACCTACCAGCTTCCAGCCCGGGATCGATCTCTCGACCACCGGAACCTTTATACTGGTAGTCCCCACACTTACTGCTTGCGCCACATGAGTGACCCAGAGAAGAGCAGTTGAAATTCTGCTCTAATACCCATCAGCATAGATGAGAGAGTATGAAAAAAAAAGGCAGTCACTGCACTCGAACCAGCATATGCAAGTCCCGAAGCCAGTGCATCAACCACTACACCAGCTCAATCACTAGGCACTTTTCTATCTAGGTACAGTGCAATGCTATTCAACTATGAGGTGTGTTGAGGTTGAACCCAAGAAATTAGAAAGTACACAGCTTCCGACTTTACTGAGTTTGCATGGAGCATAATATGGTGTTTCTCACTAGTATAGAAGCAATGGCGTAGAAGAATGGGTAGAAGAAGTAGGTGGCATCACTGCCGCAGTTGTGCTCTGGTTTGCTTTCACAGGGGCTGTTCTTCTTGCAGCTCAGCATCACTTCTTGCCAGTTCTCTCCCGTTGTCACTCTGAGTACGAGAAATACATTTGTGAACAAACTGTAATGAGCCATTGCTTGTGCTTGTTTATGTCCACTCCCTACTCCACTCTCTAGGAGCTTATACATGGAGAGACGTTAAAGATGATCTTCACACTTGTATACTCTTTGCAAAGCTTCCAGATGGCAACTTATAGCAGCAATCTTTAAAGAAGCTTCTCCTACGCATGTGCCAACTTCACACCTGATCATTACAAGGAGAGCTTGAGGAAAGTTGGCAAAGTTGTTGTACTGAGTGATGTGGTTTCCTGGGTACTCCATCGATGACTCAATTGGAGCTCTCTTGATGGTCCCAAACACCTACATACAATGTAAATGCGTACTGTATCGATCTATAATGGTTATTGGGTCATACGTACATAGTATAGCACACCGTGGTGCTTTATGAATTCAAGGAAAGAGGAATATATACCTGCATTCCTATGACAGCAAAGGTAAACACAACCACCAGCAACAGAAGACCGACCCAGGGAAATATCTGTACAAAACCATCTTTATGAACAATCTGAACAATTTCGTGGCAAGTATGTATGTAAGTCAGTAGAGTATCACCTCTGAATCATACTTTAGGTTGATTTCATTAATGCTTAATCTCATTGTTTGCCTATATATTGGACCTTCCAAAACAGATAATTGTATGCCTGCACTACGAGCTAACCTCTAGTGATTTGATGACAGTCCACATAATGAGACGAACTTGAGGAACAAATCTCAGTAGCCACAGCACTCGGAATGAGCTGGCAAAATGGCTGTACCGGAACTGGGAAGAAATGTTAGCATTATTATAAATGCAAATACTATTTGGTTAGCTAACTTAACAACTTACATCAGAGCCATCGCTAATGACCGTCTGCTGAAGAATGAACTCTAGCAGTGCTCCAGTTGTAGAGAGGAATTCAAGAAAATTCCACAAATTCTTGAAATAATTCTGGGGGGGGGAAACATATCACGTATCACTCCTCACAATCTCATGGTGGGATATATGTATTATGTATATACCACAGGATGAAGGGCAGTCATCTTCAGAATAGCTTCGACAGTGAACAAGAGAGTGAAGAAGAAATTAATCCAGTAAACAGTCTCCTTTGCAGCCTCTATGGTCTGCAGAGCAGAAAGCATAGCAGTTCAGAAGCCATTAATAATGTTGGGAAACTTGAGTGAAAGGTTTCGGTGTGACAGCTACATGTATATTACTTTGTGGGTGGGAATCAGCTACCACATGATACAAGGTATGTACAGTCCACACGCACACAAACACTCTCAAACTCATGGTCAGACAAACCACCCTTGGTAATCACTACGTAATAGCTCTCACTCTCTACCTGGAGGCATAGGATGATTGAGTTACAGATGAGAGAGATGATGATGAAGAGAGAGAAGACAGGGTGTCTAGTCACCTCCAGCAGCCTCTCCTGCCATCTGAACTTTGGCACATAGCGAAACTGGGGCTTTGTCGTCAAGGCAAAGTACAGACAGTTTCTCTAGAGAAACAAAGCAAAGGTTGCATATCAACGTAGAGGTACAAGGCTTGAGAGAACGTCCGAGAGAAAAAACGAGCATCCTTTTTCTAGCAATGGTATGCACCACGACTGGTTTGTTTTATTTTAAAATTTCACCACAGATAAGGTTAAAAGGTAGCGCATACGTATGTACATCAGAATAACTAATATAAAGTCGACGAACACAATTTCTAAGCCGCAGACCTGATTCCTGTCCAGTTTGGACTCTCTGAAGGCCTTGATGCCGACCTCCTGAAATGTGACGATTACGAAACCAATGAACATGTTGAGGAGGACAAGGGTCATGATGCACATGTAGAGGAGGAAGAAGATGAAGGCGTAGGGCGAGGAGTTTGGTCGTGGCCCCACTGGCTCATTGGTGTCTTGGAACAGCCTTGAGTTGTAGCCATTGTACATCACTCTGCACGAAAGACATGCATCGTAGGGTATACTTTTACATTGCAGTTTTGAAGCGACTGAAGTACGTAACCTGAAAAGTCTCCTTTTTGGGGGTTGATCCTTTGCAAAATGTAAACGTGTGCCAATGCTGTAAGTCCTGGCCCCACAAGTTTACGTGTCTAAATTACGATAGCCTAAGAATATTTGCCCAATTCGCCTGCAATGTGTAGTGTAGCGGCAGTTAAAATCTCACATTTGCCAGCCTTCAGAAGTGATCATGGAGAAGAGGGTCAGGAATGACTGGCCAAAGTTGTCAAAGTTCAGCCCGTGTCTCAACCACTGCCTCTCATTCAGCTGAGGAATAGCGAAATGTACACAAGCAGGGGTGCAATCTAATTTCCCCCAACTGGCCAATAGGGCTAGTAAGCTTTGAAGCCCTGACAAGCAACCAACACATGTCCCTCGCCTCCTGAAAATGCACGAATACTTAAATGTATGGTATTGTGCTTGCTGTATGTGTGAGTAGAAAAATCTTCATTCTTAGCTGAATGAACGGACCTCAGGGCAGGACAGATCTCCAGTAGGATAAGTAAAGAAATGGCCCCTGAAAAAAGAAAGAAAAACAGCCTCGTGATACAGGCATCAGGGAACTGAAACACCAAGTAATGCACTTACTTGCACTCTCTCTCAGTCGGTTTATTGGGATCCGTGCAGTAGAAGAAAGAGCCCTGAAGATATCACGAAGGTTTAGATAGCAAAGAATCCGGGCTCAGTAATGGTACATACGTACATACCCGGAAGAGAATGGTTCCAATGATGGCAAAGATGGACATGACAAGTACACAGATGACAAGAATCCTTCCGATGGATTTGATTGATGACAACAGCCCAGTCACCACAATCTGCATAAAGATACGTAAAACACCCTCCCCTCATGTGCTGCAGAAGCGAGCATGCGTTTGGGATGACCGATCGCGTGGTCGCCATTGCTGCCAGATCCAGCCATTGGCGTAAGATCGGGCTCTCTTGCCGTTGCTTTTACTTGCATTTACAAAATACATTTAGGCAATTTAATGGATTGCACTGCACTCTCCAGCTATCTGCAAGATTTTCAGGATAGTGCGCTGGCCTGTTGGTCCCCTCAGTTACTTGCCAAAAGTACAAACGTTAGGCCACCCCATTTCTACAGGCACTCCTTCTTCTACTAAAATTGCGATCTTCAAGGTCATCAAGATGGTGGGTTGCCTATCTTTCCCCCTCACGTACAACAATTAGATTAGTCACTCCTGATGAATTACACTGTTCCTGAAACACACAAATGCCTTCTCCACACAATTGACTGGTACGTAAAATGCATACATGTGCCAGCGTGAGTTTGGGGCACAGATAACATGGTATGCACATAGTACATGCGTACGTACGTAGAAGGCGGAGATACGAATGGCTCTCATAGGTCTGAAGACCCGGAACACCCTCAGAGTGGCCAGGTAGACAGGCACCAGTGTCTCCTGGTAGCTGTAGGCCAGACACCTGTAGATATGTGCCAAGACTTGTGTTGCATTAAAATTTGTAGGTGGGTATATTATTTGCAGGAGTGTAAATTGTATGTGCTATTACATACTCATGACGCATAAGTGAGGTATGAAAGTATAAGGCAAACAAATCAACAAAACCCAGGACAACAAAAAGGGTGATCTTGGTGGGACTTGAACCCATGACACTCTGCAGTCCAACAGAGCACTCTATTACCTGAATTACCAGGGTAGCTGAGACAGCACAGCTCATGTGCATTTGGGACTTGCTGATTCTGGGCCATTGCAACAAAGTTTTGAGGTTCAAAAAAACTATAGCTACACAAAAGTTGTACTTTAGGTTGCTACTTTCTCTCTTACTCTGTTGCATTGGATGAGGTCAGTCTGTAGAAATAGGATATAATGGGTATGAGGGACATGACGGTGATGACAAAGTCGATGATGTTGAAAAAGCCCCGTAGGTATGAGCCACGATGCAGTAGCACCCCCAGAGCTGTCATCTGCAGGCAGGAGTATGATATATAGTCAGGAGCCCATAGCCTCAAGTGATCTCTACTAAACAACTATTGTGGTGGACGACTTCAGGTGGTCACATGAAACAAACAACTTCAATCTGAGATCAAACTAGCTGGGCCTAGTGACTGGGAGTCCAACACACGAGCAATAACACCAGTATATCCCACACAGGGAGTCGCAATTGTATATGTACTGAATAATATGAAAAGCACTAAAGTGCAAACTTTATAGATGGGAAGCCAAGGCCGCAACCACAAACTGCTCGCCACCTGAACTATTATGCTACATTGCAAACATACCTTGCTCAGCATGTTTATCCATTGAGAACAGAGATCAAAACTGACAGAAGGCCGTGGATCGTACAACCAACGTGGCGTAGCGCATGCTCCGGCGAATAATTGACATGACGCGTGTGTGCTATATAGCCTGCCGGAGAGGGCGCGTGCGCGATCGACCGCACGTTGGCTTTTTTGCTTGTTTTCACGCCATATCTATGGAACGCAGTCGTTTCGGGAAAATCGCCACATTTATATCAATCTTCTTGTCGTTCACAACCCGTTGGTGCCACTCATTGGCCGCCTCGTAGCCTGTAGTGCGAGAACTCGCGCAGACAGACGGACAGACAGAACGACTACTGTAACCCTCGCTGCGCATGCGCGCCGAGGGTTAAATATGGTGGATGTACAGTGTACATACGTACCTTGAGGAACATCTCGACAAGGAAGTAGATGACAATCACCAGATCCACAAAAATGATCACATCCTACAGTAACATAGTGAGACTGGGAAGCTGGTGCAAGTCTTGAACATTATGCTACAGATGATGATGAGTGTGTGCCATATAAGCTAACTGACAGTATAAACCTGTATGAGGCAGAAGAGAGAGCCATCATTGAGAGAGGTGGTAACTGGGATCTCCAGAGTCAGGAGCACACTGCCGAGGAAGATGGTGACATAGGTGACCACGTTGAATGCCTTGGAGCGCACCAGCTTGTAGCAGAACACACGAAAACTGCACAACAGTCAGTGAGGAGAAAGAAAAAAGGATAGTATATTAGACTCAACTTGTGTGTGTGTGTTATAGCCAAGGTGTATGTAGCTGGACAGATGCAACATACGTACCTGTTGTCGGGGGAGAGGATGAAGAAGGCTGAATGGTCAGGGATCTCAGCAAGCTCCTTGGTGGGGTCAAATTGAATGGTGCCAATATAGTCAGTGAACCAGCGCCACATCCTCAGTACTATATATACATATACACACGACGAGAGAGAGGAACAATACATGTAATTGACAGTCTATAGGCGATAACGCAAGTTGACTTGCTTTTTACATCTCCATTTCGACCCACTTATTGGGAATCTGTCAGTAGACTGTGAAATGACAGAGAAAAGTATTATTATAGGATTAATCATGCGTTTTTCGTACCTCTCCTTCCCTTTCAGTTCGACTTCTCCTGGTGAAAAAAAGAATGTACCACAAAATCACATTGATGTGGAAATTTATCGAAGGGAGAAAAAAGAAAAGGAGATTCAAAGGGCAATTGCATAATCATAAAACGTTTAAAAAAATGTAGGTGACCCACAAGCATTTATTCACAAGACAGCGGTGTGGCTATAGTCTCATGTGTCAGACAAAGTCTGGCATGCAGACTAGGCTTTTGGGTACCACAATCAAAGGTTAGAGTATATAAGGCAGGGATGTTGCAGAGCTGGTAGTGGGATTGATCACCTGTGGATTACATTCTCTAGGGAGCTCTGTCCGTGGGTCCTCCTCAAGGTGACGTCTCTCTCAGTGGGTGAGGGAGGGACATTGGGGGAGAGGGGGCAAGGTCGCCCAACCCCCTCCCTCCCCTGGATCCTCCTCTCACCATCCTCTGACTGGCTGAAGGAGAGGAACAAGTATGTCACATGGCTTTTCTGTCCCACAATGCACAGAGTTTGGCTGTTGAATTGACTTCAAGCTCTGCTGTCCTGCCTTGGTAGCTAGCTCAGTAAGAAAAGCGCTTGGCTTGCCTAGTTTTATTAGTCAGAGTCCCACCTAGGGGAGTTATTTTTTGTTTTTTTTGCACCCAGCATTTGTGATAATAGTGCCAAAGAGTGAAAAAAACCTGCTCTGGTCTGTAATATCTCTCCTGGTAGCTGTTTCAAGTTTACTGGTGGGAGATTCGTCTCCCGTGGAACCCACACTGCCTTCGGTAATGGTCTCAAGTTTCACCAATGTCTCTTGTGTCGTTTGCTCGGGAGGAACACGGGAGGTTGGGCTGGGGTCAAAGGGGAGGGACTGTATCCGTTCGTATGAGGCAGAGTGAGGGGCATCCGAGCCTTCGTGTGACAGTGGGGTATCCGGGGTCGATGTTGTTCTCCGAATCTTCTTTGGAAGTTGCACTTCTTCCAGCGTTACGCTCGCTGCCTGCTGCTTGCTGGATTGACTATGTCCACTAGACCTGCGGTCGATGTCAAGTTCCTCAATAGATCCCTTCTGTCTCTCTCTCAGAGCAACTCCTCTGCTCGCTGGGTCTTCCCTCTCCACAATGTGGGAAAGAGGGTTCATCATAGACCGCAGGGGATTCAACTGCTTTCGTTCCTTCTTTGGTGAGAGGTGCTCACTGAACTCGGCCGCACGAGGACCGGTGTTGCTCCTGGTGCTGAATGCTCGATGGAGAGGGGCATGGCTTGAGGTAGCAAACGGCTTTCGCCAGTCCTTCTTCTGGTTGTTGTCCACCCGGATTCCGTCAAAGAGCCGACGGGCGCTGCGCAGGGTCTTGCGGTAAAGGCTTCCTTGTTCGGGGTGCTTGAGGGCATGGATCTGCCTCTTTCTGTAGACTCTCTGGCGGTCTTTCTGCTCCACCTCTCTCCCCTCTTCCTGCTCCACGGACTTAACCTCCGACAGCTTGTCCACCGCAATCGAGAGGAAGATGCTCAGCAGAACAACTGACGGGAGAGTCGTTAAGGTTCCCAACAGACTGTAATGCTACTAAACCTGTACATTGCACATTGTCCTAAGGGGAGGAGAGGGTCTGAACTAGAACGAAACAAAGTGAAAACAGGGAATCTCGCTCTTCGTGTTACGTACACACTTGTATTGTTCAGCGTGTAAAGAGTTGGATAGTACACACAGAAAATGTGCACAAATCAGACTATTTGGGCTGACTTGATTGTTTGTTTTTGTAACTCCCTCTCATCACAGTTACATAGCAAGCATGCCATCTTAAAGGAATCTGGCAGTATATAAGGGCTAAATTTAGAAATGTTACTAAAGATAGAACAAAACAATAGGGCACAGTGAAAGAATGCAATTAACTTCCGTTTTTAGTAACATTTCTAAATTTAGCTCATTATACGGACATGACATCCCTTTAAGTAGTATATATAGGTCTCTGTAATGAGTGGGATACAGCCTCCCAACATGATGGCAGAGGTGAAGTAGACAGGAGTGTATACAACTGACGATGGAACCCTCAGCCATGCTCGACTGGAGGTGTGGTACACATTGTGCCAGTCTTCAGTTGTCATTAACTGCATAGGTATAGAGAATATGTCCTGTACTGACCCTCTCACTGCAGTTAGAGTTTGTAGGATTCTGGGCCCATCTTGATCTTTTCCCACGATGGCATAACAGGTAAAATCATACTGTTACGTATAGTACACTACCCAGTTATTTACCTGAAAGACAAGTAGAAAAGATGTTAGCTGATTGTCAAAGTTAGGCAGCCCCACATTATGGTCCACATCCAGTCTATTAAGAACACAGAAATAAGTTCACAAATGTTCACGGACCTTTCATACATTGCACAAGAAGGCTAAAAGCTTCCCAGCTAAAACCCTGACTACTTTTTCTTAATGGTTAAACTATGAACTAGCATCAGTCTCTATCGGTAGTACTTAGCATATAGGGATGGGCATGGTACCTAGCATCATAGATGTATGGGGCTATGATAGGGAGTTTTGTTCATCTTCTTTTCCTTCTTCTTCTTCTTCAGATTCAATACCCATAACTCAACTATGTCAATGGTTAAACTATACAGCATCAATCTCTATTGTGTACGTATACGTATGTACGTAAATTAGTATAATACTTTTTCCCAAAGAGCCTGTGGCCAACGATGGTGTACATGAAGAGGAAGAGGACCACAAGAGCCATGAGGCTGAGACTGAGGGACATCAGACGGGAGAATGTGTGGATGATCTGCTTCATCGACACCCAGTACCTGCAGTGAAGCCGGTAAGAAGTAACTACTTACTGCACAGTCTCCGGGTATGCCTTAGTTTTATTGCACATCAGCACATTACGGCAGCTACTATTCGATTGTAAGATTACCGAGTGTATTTGAAGATCTTGATGAGTTTGATGCTCCTGCAGGCATTGATGATGGCACTGAAGTGGTAGCGACCCAAACAGGGATCAGTACCAGGTCCACAAAGTTCAAAATGTTCAGCTTCACGTATTAGTAACACAGTCATAACAGAGAGAGAGAGAGTCATTAGCAGAGGAAACTAAGTACTCTACATGGGAAAGTCATTAGCTAGCAAGGTCCAGTATATACCTATTTTGGCATCCCATAACATAACTATCCTACTCCAAATGAAATGCACACGTCTTGGAAGCAGCGATATTTGATATTTAAGTATTATGAAGCTAGCCAGAGCCTAGTCCAACTCACCACTGTGTCCATGCGGTGGAATTGGGAGGCGTAGTACCTCCGTGGACCCAGGGCAAACAGACTCAGCTGACTCTCCAGAATGAAGAAACACGAGAGCACGTAGTTGAATATGACTGGACAGAACGAATAACATCAACAATCGACTATGAACGGATGATGATGCAACAGTGGCGGATCAGGGGAGTTCCTTGGGTTCCGCGGAACCCCCCTTTTTGCCGTTTTGCGCACATGCGTCGCCGGCTTCATGCGCGTGCACGAGCGCAGTCGAAAACGTTAATTCTGGACAGCAGAAGATCCGCCACTGTGCAAGTTGGTTGCTTGGTTAACAAACAGGAAATAGGAGCCTATGCAGCATTGGTATAATACTCACAGACGGTGCGATCGAGGGCTGGGATGAGAGGGAAATGGAGGGACATGAGGAGGAGCAGGTTGGTTGCTAGAACCAGGAGCTTCAGGAAGATGTAAGGTCGAGATTTGACAACATCCAGAGCAACCGTTCTTGCCTTTGTCACCCTCTCTTTCACATCCAACCTACACACCAACAACATCCGCAGAGAAAATATTTTATCCCTGCTGGCCTTCCACCCATCTTCTTCAAAAACTACAATTACTACTGTTTTTCAGGGCCGCAGCATGCAGGGCTGCACTCAGGTCTACGTCTTATGATGCCAGGATTTTGCATAAGTTTCGATGTATGTAGGCTATTGATGCTTGATTAATGTAGGGAGTTCTCATCGGCAGGGTTTTACCCCCCAAGTCTTTTACTTACAAGACCCGACGAGGGGGTTACTGCATGTATGTAGAGAGTTCTCACCAGGAGTATTTTCCTGCCAGTCTCTCTCGCTGGCCCTCGCCACTGCTCATCCTCCGCTGGAGGTCCAGCTCTGCGTCAAGATAGTGTTCATCATCAGAGTCATAGCCTCCCTTCCTGTCCCTGCTGACTGCCAGCCATAACGGTGCCAGTGGTATTGACTGACCTGAGCACATTTAATATGGCCGAACAGGTTTATTACTATAATTATATTAAAGAGCATAAACAAGGAATTATGCAAGCATGTGGTCCATGCATGCACACAGTGCCTTGTTCCCTTGTAAAAATACTTAGTGCACTGCACGTGGCAAAAAGAGGGTAGAACAGGTTGATGATTGTGCTTACGTCTTCCTATGCTTCCGCTCTCACTGGGCAGATCCATATCCACTGTACATACGGAACAAATGCATATTATCATTCTTGCAGTCATTGATAGACAAGGGCATGACATGATGCATGTACAATTCTGTGCCATAACTCCTACTTTTACTGATGCATACGTACGTACGTGATTTCTGGATCCACTTGCGGTAGTTTTCAAGATCCTTTTCATTTTTCTTCGTCTCTTTCAACTGCCGTATGTTTGTTTCTGTCTCTTGTCTCTCACTCACACCAATGAACACACTGTCGGAACAAAAGGGGAAAAACAATTGGTGCCAATGGATTTTACGGCATCTGGTACAGCATCAAACACTCACCGAAGTATGTTAATTTCAGTAGGCATACAGATCAGGCTATGGACAGTTCAGGCTATGGGCCTAGCATTCTAGTATTGGGCAGTGCAAATCCCCCTTATGTATGCTGATGCATCAGGCAGGACCAGAATAGGCAAAAAGTGTCCCACCCAATCTTGTTCCCAGACCCCACCAACTCATCACGTACCAAAGACGTCTATGAACATACCTGGTGAGGACACCCAGCCAGAGGTTGAGAAAGAGAACAGAGCCAAGGATTATGGCGATGATGAAGTAGGGCCAGGTGACTATCACTCCACAGGCTGATTCATACTGTGTGACATACAGACAGTACTCTCACTCTCACATTAGGAAAAGGGATCCTAACCTTTTCGTACTTTTAAAAAGAACCTGGGATGAAGGACAGGCAAATGCAACATCCTGAATACCTTTACCATAGCTGAAGGATGCAGTGCAAACAAAATAGGGTGACCTAAAACTTTTCATACTTTAAGCAAGAGTGTTGGGTTGAGGACAGGCTAACACAGTATTCCTAAATATCACATGATTGTCAACAAATATACTCCCCTTACTATACCAAGGTATCACATGATTGCCCATGTATATACTCCTCTACTACACGTACCATGCCATGTATAGGTGACTATTCAATAGGTTGTTAACCCTCGGCGCGCATGCGCAGCGAGGGTTACGGTAGTTGGGTGTGTGTGTGTGTGTGTGTGTGTCTGTTACTCTCAATCTCACTTCTCGAATGTCTGTTCGTCCCAGAAACGCTACCATCTACCCAACGGGAGACGAAGGTCAGAAAATATGTGGGGTTTTCTCTGAAAATGCTCCGTTGCAGAGCTAGAGCGCTTCCACCATTGTACGGCTAATGCGTAGTCGGCCATTTTTATCGCTGCGGAAAATGCGCATGCGCTTATAACCTCGACCGGGTCGTCCGCTTGCTCTGTGTATCTTGAAGGCACAAGAAGTCACAACGAAGGGCGTGTATCGACTCTCGCATACTATCTACTACTGTAGCTAGCCCGTGTCAGACTCTCTGCGAGCTACTAGCGGGAGATCACGAGTAAACGCACACTACAAAGAGCCCAGCCCATCAATTAGCGGTACCGCGCATCCCCAGTTCGCCGAGGGTTTGCACTTTAGTGCTTTTCATTGGGTCTGTCTGTCTGTCTGTCTGCGTGTGTGTGTGTCTGTGTCTGTCTGTTACTCGTCATCTCACTTCTCGAGTGTTCGTTCGTCTCACAAAGGATACCACCTACTGAACGGGCAATGAAGGTCAGAAAATATGTGTGGTTTTCGCTGAAAACGCTCCGTTGCAAAGCTAGAGCGCGAAAAAGCCAATATGCAAATACACAACGGCTTACTACGGCATGATCGATCCGCGTGCTCTGCGTACCTCGGAGGCACCAGAAGATGCAACGCAGGGCGTGTATCGCCTCTCGCATGCTATCTAGTAGTGTAGTTAGCCCGCGTCAGACTCTGCGCGAGCTGGCAAGAGACCACGGGTAACAGCTAAAACTAAACCCAGCCCAGCAATTAGTAGTACGGCGCATGCGTTTACTTACGCGTGCGCGTCACAGTACGCCGAGGGTTTGCACTTCAGTGCTTTTCATTTAACTGGCAGTGGCACAATTAGACGGACAAACCAAAGCCAGCCGTAATCCTTGGACAATGGCAACAGCTTCTGCTCCTCTGAATCTAGTTCCCCGCTAGCTCTCCCTGCCTGGTTGTAAGACCCTCCCTCCCTCCATTCCTCTCATCATCTCCAGACAGGACAACTGGAACCCTCTCTCCTGCCAACTGGAGACTCACAAACAAGACCCCAACAACCACAGCCTCAAGCTAGTGGATGATGCAGTTGAACTACTTCGTAGTATCGACAAGCCACTCGCCATCCTCTCCATTTGTGGGCCAAACCGTTCAGGCAAGTCTTACTTCATCTCTCGCGTGCTAGGCAGCTCTGGAGCCTTCAGGCTGGGCCACAGCATGCAGGCCTGCACTCGAGGTATCTGGATGGCCACCACCGTCCTAGAGTGCCAGGATTTTGCTACCGTCTTGCTGGATACGGAGGGTATTGATGCTGTGGGAGCCTCTGAGACCATGGCCATGAGCTTGCTCACCCTCACCACACTCCTCAGCTCCTTCCTCATCTACAACTCCAAGAAGGTGCCTCGGAAGGTTGACCTCGACAAGATGAGGTGTTTCTCCCAACTCTCCACCTCTCTCCTCGCCCAGTGTGGGGAGTCAATGTCGATTGATGCCAAAAAGATGTTCTTCCCTCATTTTCTGTGGCTGCTGCGAGACGTGGGTCTCAAGATGACCGACAGGGAAGGTAAGGAGCTGGCGCCGACTCAGTTTCTTCACACCCGGGTCCTTGCATCTGAATCAGGAGAACTCACAGACTTGGGAAAGTCTCTAGTCAGTCTTTTCCCTTCTCTGGAGTGTGCCACTCTCCCCCAGCCATCGATAAATCCGAAAGTTCTACGAGACATTTGCAATCATCAAGAGAAATTGAGTGGAAGGTTCAATGATAAAATCAATGTTGTAACCCAGCAAATCTTCCAGAAATTAGCTCCAAAGAAGGCTGTAGATGGAACTACTACGGTGAATGGGAAGGCTGTGGCTGCTTTAGCTGGAGGCTATGTGGAGGCAGTCAACAAGCCAGGAGCTTTACCAGACCTGGACCAGGGCTGGCAGGCTGTGGTGAGGCTGGAGCTGAAGGAAGTCTCCTACAAGCTGGTGAGGGAGTACGAGAGGGAAATGGAGGAGGCTCTGGAAGGAAACCTGCCAATGGAAGAGAGAAATCTCCTGAGAATCCACAAACAGACACTCAAGAGAAAGAAGAGTGTTCTGAGAGAGGAAATCTGCCGTGTTAACCCTCTCCACTCCAGCCATGAAGAAGTCCAGCCACTCCTGGACCAGCT